AGTGTAAGTGTCATGCAGCTTGACGAGGAAAATGGGTGAATGAGTAAGGGAATTTCTTTTAAACCAAGTGCCGTGAACTGTTGCTGTCTGTCTCTCCTCACTGGTTTGTCTATCTAGAAACTTTGCTTATATACTCTTCAAAGAGCTCACAAAGCATGCTTTTTTAATGTTGGCAGGAATGCGACCCATTGGTTAAAAAATGTTAAATATTTATTTTCAAAGCATCAATTTGTTGACTGGAAAGAATGTGCAATCCTCCAATTCAGAATCTATTTTCTTGTCATTTGGTGTTTAAGCTGTCTTGGTGTTCATTTCAGTCTTCATGCCACTGGGGTACTAATATGGAAACCTTAGCAGAACAAATAAACATGAAAATATTTATAGAATTCATGTAAATATTAAAAAAAACAAAAAAAAACAAATGTACTATTTGGTCACTAATTTAAACCTGTTGTTATTCATTATTTATTTTTTTTATAATGATGTTCACCCAGTACAATGCCCAAAAGCCACTCAAGGTAGAAGGTTACCGAGTAAGAGGCATAGATTATATGGACATGAGGGGAAGATTTCTTACTTTTAGTTTTAATCATACCTTTCCAAATATGGGGATTATGTGAATATATAGGGACGATCTGAATATGGCAACACATGGCCAGAAAAATGTTCTTGATTCTAATATGCACCCCTAATTTTTGGGCTTAAAGAACTGGAGTAAAAATGTGTATTATTGATGAATAATTACGGTAAGTAGTGTTGAAGAGATGTTTGTCATACTAATTAATTTAGTGATAATACAGGTGATGCATTAGTTTTTTGTTTTGATTTTAAAACAATGATGTTTATCCTATATAAAGCCCAAGAGTAACTCAATGTAGAGGGTTACAGACTAAGAGGCACTGCTTATGCAGATATGTGAGAAGATAATTGTTAACCCTCAACTTGAGCAGGTTAAGATTGTACTGATCAGGGAAGCATCCTGTCGGGAGTCAGTTCAACATAGAAACAGTTCATGGGAAGAAGATGCTTAATTGGAACTTTCATCTCACCAATAGAATATAAAGAATGAAGGTGGTTTGCTACAATGTTCATTGTATGGTAGGTCTTTGCTTTGAAGGTTAGAAGTGGTGGAACTAAGGAATGTAGTTTCCATGGAAATAGTGACGGAGCCATTGAGACTGGAAAGTGAAGACTGAGCAACTCCAGTCATATATGGCAGCAGTACTTCATTTTCAGTCTGAACTGGTTCTTGTAAATCTAGAGGATAGCAGCAGGAATCAGATCTTGAGTGGCACAATGAACCAAATTCTTTAACGATGGGTCATATGTATGAGTTTTTGAGTTCTGGGTTCAATTTAAGTCCCAATACTCAAGGCACACCCATTCATCACAACTGGTTGAAAATCCTGAATGTGCTTGATGATAATAAAACTTGTGACAATACAATTTCTCACACATCTTTAGAAGATTTCTTTTTCCTTTTAAGTCCATTTAATTATCTGAGTTTTTTTTTAGGAAATTCATCTCCAGTCCATCTTTGAGTCAACTTATGTACCAGAGTTTTCAGGATTTCTGTCTCTTTAAATTGACAAACATAAAATTTTGTTAATGATTTTAGATAATCATAAAAGTAGTACTTTGAAGAAGCTGACCAGCCAAAAACCTAAACCTTGTTCTGAAACTTACAGGGATGGATATGGATAGTTGGATCCCAGCCAGTATCCACATAAGCAGGGAGAGGCAGGAGGTGAGTGAGTGAGTAAATGACCAGTGGCCAGTGACGAAGGAACTGGCAAAGAGAAAAAGACCAGCAGTGAGAAATCAGCAGTTGCCTCGCTAGCCAGTGAATATAAGGGTCCTGTTTCTGTGACCGGAAGTTTTGTAAGATACCAGTTCACTACCTCGACCAGCTGAATGAAGATAATACTATGGTGAAGTGAGAAATTGTATTGTTGCTATTCCCCAATCAGTGCTTTGAAAAGTAATTGCTGTTATTCTCTTTTGAAATCAATCACAGCCAAGTGGACAAACCTGTGAACATAGCTAGCTGGGTGTATACACAAACAACTGACCTTGGATATCATCAGGTTGTGCAGTAGACTGATGAGTGGAGCATGTCGTCACAAACATCACTAGTTTAGTTTTAGTGACATTCAACGTGGCCAGTCAGTTTTCTGTTTCAGTTCGAGGCAAATATAATGTAAAAATATCCTGCACACATATTTGACGAATTGGAATGAAATTTTGAAGTAAAGATTATTTTTTAATGTTTATTTATTGTGCAAAATGCACAATTAAGGCACAAGGCCAAAAAAGTTGGTGGAGTTGAGGCTAGTCTTCCCTAACTTATACCTAGCTAATCCGATTCACGACCCATTCACTCATTACAATTTGCCCATTCACCACAAAAACTCGTCTGTCACCAATCAATCCTCCATACACCATAATACTGCATCCTCTCAAGGGGGTCCTACAAAATGTGCCCCATTCCATAAAGATTTAATGATAATTAATAATTATATATAAAAAACTTATGATGAAAAATAAAAGGGGAGGGAATGAACCCCAAAACAAACTAGACATAAACACAAAATCAACTAAATATAAGTGATGTTAGTAGGGCCTGTCCAACCCTCAAAAAATTCAGAGGCTGCTGTATTCTGTCCATGGGACAAAATCAAGAAGCTCTCTCGCTAAGAGAGTGGGAAAGGTGAAAATATAGATGTACATGGAGAATAAAAAGTTGACCCAGTCAAGATATTTTTTTAATGTCTATCAAACACGTTTCTTGATGTTGTGGTTATTACCAATTGTTGAAAAGATATATTTAGTAAGAGTGTTGTGGATGCATAAAAGTTTCCTCAAAATGAACATAGAACCAATTATCTGTCTATATTTCTGAGATGAGGTATTGTCATTATTTACATTGTTTATTCCTCAAGGACACATAGCCTAGTTGATAAAAGCATTAGTTGAAGTAATCCAGTGACTTAACCCAAAGAGTTGTGAGTTCAATACCTGGGCACAGCAGAGGTGAACTTAAATCTTTAAGAATAGAGTTAGTGACTGATTTTTTTTTATGTTTATCAATGTCTTGCAGGTTATTTCAAACCAGAAAATATTTTTAATACCAACAAAATTTTTATTGCTGGTAATATTTTGTTTTGTCAAAAATCTATTTCTGGTAATAATTTTTTCCTTCAAAACTGTATTGCTGGTAATATATTGTTTTGTCAAAAATCTATTTCTGGTAATAATTTTTTCCTTCAAAGCTGTATTGCTGGTAATATTTTGTTTTCAAAAACTATGTTGCTAATACATTCTTTTTGTTCAAAAATGTACTGTTGGTAATTTTTTTTTTTTTTTCAATAATGTACTGCTGGTAAAAGTGTTTTTTCTTCAAAAATTTATTACTGATAATTGTTTACAAAGTATTTCTGGTATTAAAACCTATTTTTACACTTTCATAGTGTTTTGACCCCAGTTATGGGGTTAGCTATTTGCCCATAGCTGGGACCCTAACAGGAGCTACCATTCCAGATCATGGTGGACCTGGGAACACCAACAATTAAGAGGTGGTTCTATCCTCCTCAAAACCTCCTGATCAGAGGTCTTACTGCAGGACGTAGTTTATCGTCTTACCCAGGATGCAGATGTAGTCCAGGATGCTCCATTGAGGTGGGGTCTTACCCCTCTGCAGAAGTGCAGTCGGCGTATTTTACAGCCCCAGCCGACAGGGTGGAATATGCTTAAGTTAGTACAAATTTATTCAATCTTTACAGTGAGGCTATCGCAAGCAAGGTCCGGAGACCCAACCAGGATATTTTTTTTATTGGTGGGATAGTCTTAATAACAGAAGATGCACAGATGACATGAATTTGAAGCAGACACAGAAAGAAAACTAGAGGACATCCTAGTCAAGGCAGTAAAGCAAAGAAAGGACTAACTATCAATTGTCAGAAGACAGAATATATGGTCGTCAGCAAGAGAAATACACCCAAGATTTGAACTACAAATAGTAGAAGTCAAAATCAAACAAGTACAGATGTTTAAACATCTGGGAAGGGTTTTAATAGATGATGTGACATCAAAATCCAAATGAGCAGTTGATTAGGAAAAGTTGCATTTCAAAAGCTAAGCAAAGTATTAAGAAACAGAAAATTCTTCAGCTACACTGAAAAGAGTGCTGAACTGATATAGAATATCAATCCTCCTATATGACTGTGAATCCTAGACAATTTCCTCACAGATGAAGATGAGACTGAAGGCAACAGAAATGTGGTTCTACAGAAGGATGTTGAGAATATGAACAAAGCATGTAAGCAACAGAGAAAACATGGAAACCAAAAGGGCACATACTCAGAAAGGGGAAATTTCTGGGACACATAAGGAAGGATGGCTTAGAGAGGTTGACACTCACAAGAAGGCACAAAAGGACAGAGGGAGGCAGTGGATCACCAACCTGATGAGCTTGTGTGAATGAATGGCAGAAATGGGACAATGGGGAAAACAAAAAAACAAATGTTATTAAGAGCTACAAGGGATAGGAAGTTGTGGTGAGCCATGATGACCCATGTATTGAAGGAACACAGCACATAGAAGAATAAGATGATGTGCTAGTATGCAAGATGAGAGATATTCTACTGTATCCAATACCCTGATATTATGTCAACAGATTATCTACTAATGCCTGAAATGCGATATGAATGAGTTATTGATAAACATAAAAAAATCAGTCACTGTCTTGCAAGTTATTTCAAGCCAGAAAATATTTTAAAATTGTAAGAACTATTTTCCAAGATAATTATAATTTACTGATACAATTCCTACTAATTAATCCATAGCTGAGGGGAAAAGAGGTGGATTCATACCTTTCTCAAGAGTATCTGAATATAAGTAAATATAACGAATCCTACTGGAAATGGAATACAGCCCTCTGACTTACTTAAAAAACAGAACAAAATTTTTGGCCAACTTATTGTTTCTTTTTTTTCCTTCAGTTCTTCACTAACTTCTTCACTTTTTCCTTCTCATTCCTGCTCCTTCTCCACTATTCATTTACTCTCTTCCTTCCTCCTCCACTATTCATTTACTCTCTTCCTTCCTTCTCCACTATTCATTTACTCTCTTCCTTCCTCCTCCACTATTCATTTACTCTCTTCCTTCCTCCTCCACTATTCATTTACTCTCTTCCTTCCTCCTCCACTATTCATTTACTCTTATTTTATTCCTTCCTCCTCCACTATTCATTTACTTTCTTCCTTCCTCTTCTCCATTCCTTTACTCTCTTCCTCATTTTCCACTATTCCTTTACTCTCTTTTATTCCCTTCCTTTACTCTCTTCCTTTCTTTTATTCCTCTCTTTTCTTTTATTCCTTTATCTATCCACTTTATTCCTTTTATTCCTTCCTTCTCTATTCCTTTACTCATTCCTTTTCTTTTTTATTCCTTTACTCCTTCCTCTTCTTTTATTCCTTTACTCTTCCTTTCTTTTATTCCACCATCTTCTTTCCTCTTCCTTCCCCCTATCCACTTTTTATTCCTTTACTCTCTTCCTTTTTATTCCTTTACTCAAATTCCCTTTTATTCCTTTATCCACTATTCCTTTACTCTCTTCTTCCTTTTTATCCTTTCTCTTTTCTTCCACTATTCCTTTCTCTTCTCTTTTTATTCCTTTCTTCTCTTCCTCTTCTTTTATCCACTATTCCTTTTCTTTTATTCTTTACTTCCTTCCTTTATCCACTATTCCTTTCTTCTCTTCCTTCTTTAATCTTCCTTATTCCTTTACTCTCCTTTTCCTTTATTCTCTTCCTTCCTCCCTTTCTTTTATTCCTTCTTCCTCTTCTTTTTATTCCTTTACTCTCTTCCTTTCTTTTTATTCCTTCTTCCTTCCTAGACACATTTATCTTTTATTCCTTTACGAACTTCCTCTTCTTTTTTTATTCCTTTACTCCACTTTTATTCCTTTCCTTCCTTTTTATTCCTTTACTCTTTCCTCCCTTATTCCTCCTTCTCCACTTTTATTCCTTTACTCTCTTCCTTCCTTTTCTTTTCCTCCTTTTATTCCTTTCCACTTCCTTTCCTTTTCTCTTCCCTTCCTTCCTTCCTCCCTTTTATTCCTTTCCTCTTCCTCTTCTTTTATTCTTTACTCTCTTCCTTTTATTCCTTTCCTCCCTTCTTTTTTTCTCTCTTCCTCTTTTTTATTCTTTTCCTTCCTCTTCTTTTATTCCTTCCTCTTCCTCTTCTTTTATTCCTTTACTCTCTTCCTCTTCTTTTATTCCTTTACTCTTCCTTCCTCCCTATTCCTTCTCCTTCCTTCCTTTTATTCCTTTACTCCTTCCTCTTCCTTTATTCCTTCTCCTCTTCTATTCCTTTACTCTCTCCTTTCTTTTATTCCTTTATCCTTCCTTTTATCCTTTGCCTATTCACTTTTCTTTTATTCTCTCTTCCTTCCTCTTCTTTATCCTTCTTTTATTCCACTATTCCTTTATTCCTCTCTTCCTTTTCTCCCTTTCCTTCTCTATTCCACTATTCCTTTTCTTTTTCCTTCCTTCCTCTTTCCTTCCTCCACTTTCCTTTTACTCCTTCCTTCTTTTATTCCTTTATCCTTCCTCCTCTTTTATTCCTTTACTCACTTCCTCCTTCCTCCTTCTCCTTCTCTTTTTTCCTTTTCTTTTTCTTCTTTTATTTTCCTTCCTCTTCTTTTTATTCCTTTCACTATTTTCCTTCCTTCCTTCTTCCTTTTCTTTTCTTTTATTCCTTTACTCTTTCCTTCCTCCCTATCCTTTCCACTATTCCTTTACTCTTTTCCTTTATTCCTTCCTTTTTCTCCTTTACTCTTCCTACTCCACTATTCCTTTACTCTCTTCCTTCCTCCCTATCCTTCTCCACTATTCCTTTACTCTCTTCCTTCCTCCCTATCCTTCTCCACTATTCCTTTACTCTCTTCCTTCCTCCCTATCCTTCTCCACTATTCCTTTACCCTCTTCATTTTTTAATCTTTCCATGAACAGTAGTTAATATAATGTCCTAATACTTACTTTTAGATCATAAATTCAAATTTTGCTTTGTTTCCTGACACCTAAGAGAGAAAAATCAAATGATAAATACTTATCCTACATCTATTTTTAGCTGAAACATCGATTATTGAGATAATCCTTCTGCATTCATCTTACGCTTAATCCACCTTAATCTTACTTCCTCGTCTCTTTGTCTTCAGCCTTTAATCTTTTAATAGAGATGTACTTTTTTCATTTTGAGTAGAAATATGAGATTGAATTGAATCATTCTTTTTCTCTTATTTTTATCCACTTGAAGCTCAGTAGCAATTCAATGGGACTGTGGAACAGGTAATCAGAGGTTCTCAACTCTCCTCTCTCACCCTCTCATAATAAAACAGGAAACAACATGGCATATTAATTGTTAGTTACATGTTTCTGACCAAGTGCTACTACTACTTCAGTGGGCTGTATATCTCACAGGTTGTGTTTCTAGGTCACTAGGGGATTAACAGAAGTGGGAAAGAGAAAAAAATTTCTTTTTTTTGTTTAGAGCTTCTGTTGAGAATTATTTACAACCATGTTTATTTACATTGGTTGAGTGATTTTTAAGATTTGATAATAGGCAATGTTTATAATGATAATAGGCAATGCTTATTTACAGTCATTACTTCAGATTACTTATATATATATATATATATATATATATATATATATAGTAAAGAAAAATTGAGTGTGAGGGAAATATTATTGTTTTTCTTCATTTCTATGTTTGGAATAAAGTTAAGTTTATAGAATTTTAGGTCATGATGTGGTTGTAGGTAGGCAATAAGAATATTTCTGTCTCTGATTTTAAATATATATATATATATATATATATATATATATATAAAATTAATTAAAGAATATCAAACACTTAAGATCCCATAGGTAATAATTTTTATTTCATGAGAGCTCTAAAAAAAAAAAAAAAAAACACAACACATGCAGCTCTCATGAAATAAAAATTATTACCTCTGGGATTTTAAGTGTTTGATATTAATTAATTAATAATAACTTTGCTCTGTCTTTTGACGTAGAACTCTCCCTGGATCTATATCCTCCTGGAAATTCCATACGGATTACCATATTGTATTATTACTATATATATATATATATATATATATATATATATATATATATATATATATTCTCTCAGGTAGAGTGTATCTGACAAAATGAATAAAAAAGATGAGGAAAAACTATATTTAATTGATGCATTTCATCAACTGATAGACTATATCAAGGCAATATATGTAGATTTGCCTTGATAAAATCCATCAGATGATGAAACACATCGGCTAAGTATAGTTTTTCATCTTGTCTTTTTAATGATATATATATGTGTGTGTGTGTGTGTGTGTGTGTATGATTTGTATAATCCTTTCTTTATGTATATAAGAATGTGTGTTGTAATAAAAAAAAAAAAAAACTGTCAACTTATTGTAGCAATTAACGTCTGCAATCAGTTCTTCTGTCTCTCTTGCCTGCATCACTTGCAGTCAATTGAACTCAGCTGATTGGGTTTCAACCAATGGGGATTAGTAGAACCAAAAAAAGAATCCATGTGCCAAGACAAAGTTCAAGCAAGTATTAAAGAAAAATGGGGTCAGAAATCTAACATTCACTTTGCAACAACAGAAATGCAATTTCACCCCCCAAGCTCAAAAATCCGTCTCCTGGTAAGCAAAAAACAACAGCCTTTATTTAACGAGCGATTTTCCTTATTGTTCGCACCATTCAGGTAGGAAAGAAAATTAGCAGAGCTTCTCCGATACTTAAAGCAGCAGATTTTTGCTTTTTTTTTTTAATTCTCCTTCGGCAAGCCATGCACAAAACATGAAGTAGGTGATTTCTCTTTTGTTCCCCCGGCTGGTCACATAAATGGACATTTAGGGGAGGGCCTCTTTATTCTTGAGCTTCTCCAGAGAAGGGCAATTATTGGAGGGGATTGTATGGTATGTTCAGAAGATTTATCTCCTGAGGAGTCCTCTGGTCTGACAACCTCATGCACAGAGTACCATCTGAAGAGGTACTGGCCCAATCTCCAATGGTAATTATCCTTTCACTTCCAGAGCACTCACTGCTAGCATCACTTGCCAAGCATCCGATCTTACACAGGGATGCAAGACTTTTATGTGTCTTGGCATTCCATCAACCAGCATAGAGTTGCTGATTCCAGAAATATAAAAAATAAAATAAAAAAAATAAAGCATTAAGGGGTCATTTGATAAAAATCGCCTGAAGATACCATAAGGTTGAAACAAAGGTAAGCAGAATCAACTGACCTCTTGATTTTTAAAGTTAAAAGCTTTACATGTTATTTTTACTTTTTAATACTACTGTTTCCTTGTCTGATTCAATGCTGACCATAAACCTTTTATGTATTCTGTATTAAATATATATATATATATATATATAACATTTTTTTATTCTTTAACTATTGAAAGTTTGTTTCATACAGTGCACCTGTACTGAGTATAGTTTTTCATCTTGTCTTTTTTAATCATTATGTATATATATATGCATGCATGATTTATATATTCCTTTCCTTACGTATATAAGAATGCTATTTCAGATACTTTTCAAAGAGCTGTTTAATAGGCACAGAAAAACATTTGTTTTCTTATTTACCTATTAAGACGTGAATCATAGTTTAATGTACATCAGCTTAAAATGAGACATTGGAGAACCAAATTTGAATTCCAGTCAGGTTTATAACATCCACTTACATGCTAATACCCTTGGGAAAAGTATGAATCTACTTCTTCTGCCCCCAGCTATAGGTTAAATAGTAGGACAGACTGGATCCTGTGACCATGGTTAGCAACAAGTTTGCTGTAAGAAAATTTTCTGCTTAGTTAGTCATGAATTGAAAGAGACATAATCATCCAAACATGTATCATGTATGACACTTGACTGACTCAATAACAGACTGTTTCATGCAGTATGATTTTAAAAATGGGTGTTTGTTTCCCTTGTAAAGCCAAAAGAAACAAACAAATGCCCATTTTGAAAATTGCACTGTGTGCAACAGACTTTCAATAGGTATCTTTTGCATAGTAAAAACATTAAAATTTTCCTTCCGTTCTGCTGTGTGATGATAGCTTGTGGGTAGAATTGGTCGGGTTTTGATCCTGGCTTGAAGCAATCTGATGTCTAGTCACACTGATGAGTTGTGATACAGTGAAACAGTCTGTCTGTGGATGACTATCTATCTATATATATATATATATATATATATATATATATATATATATATATACATAAAATGGTAATGGTCAGAGTTGAATCAGACCTGGAAACCGTAGTATTAAAAAATGCTCAATAAATGTGTGAAAAATAAAATAAAAAGTAAAAATAACATGTAGAGTTTTTAACTTTAAAAATCAGGAGGTCAGTTGAATTTGCTACCTTGGTTTCAACCTTATGGTATCTTCAGGCAAGTTTTATCAAATGACCCCTTAATGCTTTATTTTAAAAAAAAAAAAAAAAACTAATGAACGCTATAAAATTATTTTCAAAAATAAATAAATACATGACATTGGGTGTAAGGGAAGGAGGAGGAGGATGTGAAAAAGGAAGGAAAAGAAGAAGAAGAAAAGGGAAGAGAAGAAAAGCAAGGATATTGTAAAAGTATCAGTGGTGGGGTAATTGATATATACATTATGTTTTTATCTCGCCTCATATGTGCTTAACGGGAAATTTCTAATATGTAAGCAAGGACTTAAGAATTTGGATTTCTGGCTTAACAGGTTCTTTGGATCCAGAAATGTCATATATTTAAAATATTGCACATTGACTGCTGGTGCTAATAAAATAATAATTAAAATATATTTAAATTAGAATTATATTTATATGTTTGCATTTGGAAGTATGGTACGGTACGGTATGACATCCGTCAGTCTTGAGGGACCATAGATCAGTACCTTAAGAGTTATGCCTTCTCCAAGGTACAGGCCTGGGTAGGAATATTTTTATGAGAGATCGGCAGTTTTCGATGCAGCACATCTCCCCTCTCCATGCCTACGATGTTGTCCAAGAGAAAGGCAAATGACAATACAGCTTGGCACTGGCATCATTGCAGGTTTTGCCAGAACAAAATAGAACATGACATTGTAGTGTCTTAGGAACTCCAGCTTCAGATTTGAATTCAAAGTTAATCTCCTCCTAGTCTGGTTGCCAACCATGGCTACACAATCCAGACTACCTTACTATTTACCCATAGCTGGAGGTTTTGAATTCAAAGTTTCCTTCTCCTAGACTGGTTAATACCCAAGGCTATAGATCCCAGTCTGTCCTGCTGTTTATCCATAGCTGGGAGGAGAATAGATGGATTCATACCTTTCCCAAGTGAATGTAAGGAACTTGACTGGAATTCAAACTTAGCTCCCCAAATTCTCAATCTGAGCTGTGTCCTGGATAAGACAAGAAACTATATCTGCGTCCTGGGTAAGACGATAAACTACGTCCAACAGCAAGGCCTCTTAATTTTTGATGCTCCCGGGTTCATCCTGACTTGGGATGGTAGCACCTGTTAGGGTCCCAGCTATGGGCAAATAGTTAAACCCCAAACTGGGGTCAAAACACTATGAAATAGGTTTTAATATAAGCAATAAATTTTTTTTTGAAGGAAAAATTATTACCAGCCATACATTGTTACCAGCAATGCATTTTTAATGAAAAGGATATTACCAGCAATAAAAATCTTGTCGGCATTAAATAACCTATTGAGGTTGATATGCCATAAAACAAACCAAACCAATCAATGTGAGCCACAATCCACTACTTCACCAGGCCTCCATTAGTGTGTGTGTGTGTGTGTGTGTGTATTTGTATATATTATTTTATTCCCCATGCATAAATATATGTACTGCTACACTATTACAACACAGTATAAATATCAATATTTAAATTATGCAATGATCTATTTTCAATCAGTGCCTAATAATTACAGTGGA